GTCACGGTGATTGACAGGTAGTGATTGACAGGGGGTGTGTCCGGTTCCGGGTCTCTGGGGACAGCGGGGTCAGGGAGGGCATGGAGCGGAGACAGGGAGAGCATGGAGCAGGGACAGATCCTGGAGCGTGGACAGATCCTGGAGAGGGGACAGGGAGAGCATGGAGAGGGGACAGATCCTAGAGAGGGGACAGGGAGAGCATGGAGAGGAGACAGATCCTGGAGGGAGGACAGATCCTGGAGCGGGACCGGGAGAGAATGGAGAGGGGACAGGTTGATCCTGGAGCGGGGACAGATCCTGGAGAGAGGACAGGGAGAGCATGGAGAGGGGACAGCGGCTGTGAAGGGACAGGAGCATCTCTCCTGCGAGGAGACTCCCCTGTTCACTCTGGAGAAGACCAGACTGAGAGGCCATCTCATCAATCCATAAAAATATCTCCAAGCAGGGGCACAGGATGGTGCCAGACTCTTTCCAGCGGTGCCCAGCGACAGGACAAGGACCAATGGCCACAAAGTAAAACAGAAGAAGTTCCACCACAATATGAGGAAGAATCTCTTTATGTTGAGGCTGGCAGAGCACTGGAACAGCTGCCCAGGAAGGCTGTGACGTCTCCCTCTCTGGAGACATTCCAAACCCACCTGGACACATTCCTGTGTCACCTGCTCCAGGCTCTGTTCCCTGGTGCCCAGCAATGGGACACGAGGCAAAGGGCAGAAACTGATGGAAGTTCCACCTGGATATGAGGAACATGGTCTTTCATGTGAGCTCTGGCACAGTTTGTCCAGAAAAGCCTCATCCCTGGAAGTGTCTGTGGCCACGGGTGATGGGGCTTGGAGCAACCTGGGATGGTGGAAAGTTGTCCCTGTCCATGGCAGGGGTGGAATGAGATGGTCTTTAAGGTTCCTTGCCACCCAAACCATTCTGTGATAATACTTAATTGAAGCCAGCTTTTCTCATTCTAAATTATAAAAAAGGAACATTTTTCTGGGTTGTTTCTAATTAGGAAGAGATCTTCTTGGTGATCAAAATTTACCTCATGAAAAAAAAAAGCCACTCAGTTGCACCCAGGAATTTCTGTTCACAGAATCACAGAATTGTGCAATCATGATCATAAATCCCAGAATCACAGAATCATACAATCATGATCATAAATTACAGAACCACAGAATCGTACAATCATGATCATAAAGCCCAGAATCATAGAATCACAGAATGTTAAAGGTTTGGAAGGNGTGGGCTCACCCTGCCCAGAGCTTGGCACAGGCTGCTTTGTTGGCACTGGGTTTGGGGGCACAGCACAAGTGGCTCCCTCCAGGCTCGGTGGTGGCTCTGTGAAGATATCTGAGCTCTCTTCGGGCTCGTTCCTGGGCTGCCCAGGGCTGTGAGTGGCACCGGCATCCCTGGATGGAGCAGCCCTGCCCAGGCCCAGGCCGGGTGTGCCGCGGTGCAGGTGGTTGGCATTCCCAAAAAACCCATTGTCCACACACACCGGCCGGCGGCTCAGCCAGTCCCGGCCCTGCTCTGGGGACACAGCTGGTGGCACAGCCACCCCTGGTGTCCCTGGTGACACTGGCATGGCCCCGGTGGGGTGTGAGAGATTCCCCTCTGCGCTGTGCCCGCCGCTCGCTCCGCCATGGACTTTGCTCCCAGGTGGAACCGGCCGGGGACTCTCTTGCTCCGGGAGTTTTTTGGGGAGCTGGAAGGAAATGAGGTGTGTTAAATCACTGGGATGAGGGGTTTGGGACATCCCTTGGTCCCAGTGACCCCCATGAGGCTGGTTATGAAAGGGGTCTGGGGTTTCTTTTTGGGACCCACCCAAGGGTTGGGGGTTGTGGAGAGAAGCCTGGACTGGCAAAGCAGACCCTGCACTCTCCCCATGGAATGGAATGCCCCTGGAATTCAGTTACAGGGCCATATATGAGCTGTAAGCTACCAGATACAGCAGAGATCAGCAGTGAGGGGCTGCTTTGGCTGGCCCTGGCCCCACCACAGGCTCCCCATACCCAATCCAAAAGTCCAAAAGGGATCTTTGTGTCCCCATCCAACCTGTGCCCTGCTCACCGATTCCTGCACAGGCAGCCTGGCCTCCAGCTCTGTGCTCGTGGTGGTTCCAGCACTGGGCAGGACAGGGGGATGGTCACCCGTGGCCAGGTCTCGGCGTGGCTGCCCAGCCAGCGGGGCAGAATTTGGCTCCCGGGGTGGTGTCTGGGCACTGATGGAGGAGGGCCTGGGATGGGCATCACTGGGAAGGGAGGGGGCAGCAGCAGGAGCTGAGGAACCTGGAAGAGACAAGTGGATCATGGCAAGAAAAGCTGAGGAAGCAGAGGATAAGTGTGACACTGAGACAGTCCCTGCTCTGTCCCCACAGCAGCCAAGCCCACAGCACCCCTTTGTTCATCTTTCCATCTTCCCTCAGCCACTTTCAAACATGGATCTGTCATCCTCAGACATGTCACCACAGTCAAGGACATCCCTGGGACAGTCACAGACATCTCCAGCACCCTGGGAAACCGAGGCAGGCACAGAGACAACTTCATGCCCCTACCTCCAGCACCCCACAGGACACACCAAGGAAGGATGAGGCTACATACGAGGTCGAGGTTGCCAGGCATCATAGATTTCCTGCAGCTCATCAGCCAAGTGCCCTGCGTTGTTGTGGTGCAGCGCCTGGATGAGATCCTGCACCCAGCCCCTGCGGCACTTCAGGTGCTGATAGAACTTAAACACAGCTGCCTGGTTGCCTCGTGTCTCCTCCCGGGCCAGGAGTTCATCCTAGGAAAAACACACAGGGTATCTAAGAGAGGGTCTGGTTTAGAGGTAAGACAGCTCTATGTTGCCATTGGGGAAGGAGCCTGGCAGAGCTCAGGCAAAGAGGAAATTACTCTGTCAGAATCGACCAGGCAGGTCAGGGAATCGGCCAGCGACGCCACTCGGATAGCACTGAACTTCTTGAGGTTTCTCGTAATGTGGAAGTACACTTTGTCCTCAGCCAAACCCATCGTGGCTCAGCACCTGCAGAGGGACAGAGGCTGCGGGTGAGCCCCAGGCTGTCTCCAGGAGCTCGGGCAGGCACCCGTGCCCTGGCACAGACAGCGCGATGAGACAGGGGAAATCCTGTCGGAAATCACGCACAGAAAATTCGTTTGGGTTTAAGCTCAACGCCCAGCTTCACTTCCATAAACCTCGCTTATTTCTACCATTGCCCAGACCGTGTTTATTCCCACTCTGCTTGTTTGGATGTTTGGATTCCGCCGGCGGGTTGGGGGCCGGCCTGGCGGCAGGGTCACGACAGGCGACAGGGAAAAACAAGCGGCACGGCCAAGACNTGCCCACATCAAGGAGGTCTGAGGGTGCTCAGTGTCCTGCAGATCCACATTTGTTGAGCCACAAGCTCAGCTGGTAGGAGATTCATGGCTCTTGTTCTCTGCAAACTTAAACAAAGCCCTTCACTCATCACCCAGGTCATTTCTGCTTATCATTTTTGAGAATGGTTCAGTCCCAAATTGGAGGCAGGATGCTGGCAGAGCTTGGAGCTGCCTTCCCCTGGGGCATCACACCATGTGCAATTAGGGTCTCCCAAAACATCCCTGTCCATTCCCTCTGCAGCCCCCCTGGAGCAAAGCCAGGAAGCCCAGGCACTGAACAAACCCCTCTTTGGAATTTCAGGGCTGAGAAACTGAATTTGTGCTCTGCCAATTGCCCTTGTTTGTGGCCAGAGAATGAGGAACTAACTCTGTGCACAAGTGGATGGGAGAGGTGGAAAGTCCTGAGGGGAAAAAGTGCTTCAGGGATGAGCCACAGCAGGTCTGGCTGGGTCCCCTCTTTAGGGTCCCTTCCAACCCAAACCATTCCATGATTCAGTGATTCTGTGAAGCTCTGGAATTCTGGGCAGCAGCAAAAGAGAGAACTGCCTGGAAACTTCAGCCAGGGCTCCTGGACAGCCAGTGCTGGGAAAAGTGAGCTCCCCCACATCCAAACCCAGGAACTGACCCATTTGGGGTTTTCTGAAGTTACTGCAAGATCATGAGTGTCTTTAGGAAGCCAGGAACTTTGCAGTTGCTCAATACTCATTCAGCTGCTTTGGCATGGCTTATTTGGAATGGTTTTATTTTTGTGGGATGGATTCAGAGTTCCCAGCGTGGGATCTTTGGAGATGAGTGTGTTTAGCTGTTGTGGAAAGAGATCCTTGAGAGGTGGGGTCTGGCTTGGTGGCTGTGGCTTCGCTGGAGGTGACATGACAGACCAGAACACCAGAATTGGAGTTTAATCAGTTTAAATGTCTCTGCTGCACAAAACAAGTTCCTGCCTTTTTCTGCCCAGAAAGCCAGAATTTCATAAAATCATTAAATCATTAAATCATGGAATGGTTTGAGTTGGAAAGGACCCTAAAAACCATCTGGTTCCAACCCCTGCCATGGGCAGGGACACCTTTTACTGTCCCAGGGTGCTCCAAGCCCCATCCAACCTGGCATTAAACACTTGCAGGGATCCAGGGACAGCCCCAGCTTCTCTTGTGCTTGAAGGGTGCAAATCTCACAGGCTCAGTTTGGGAGAGAATCTTTAAAATTGTGTTTTGAAGCTTTTAAGGATTCATCCTCTTAGAGAACTCATGATGTTTTGTGTGTCCAGGGAGATTCATTTTGGGCTGTTCAGTGCCCCACAGGCCAAGGAAAGTGCCATGGATTTAAGGAAATTTGAGTTCCTGAAGCCCTGTGCCAGAAAAGGTATCCCTGCCCAGCTAAGATCATTCTTTATATTTAATATTGAATTCTCCCTCCCCTGCTGCTTCATTAAGGCAGTGGAGTTGCAGAAATGGCAGTAATTAACTAATGAAGGACAGGGGGGTAGTGCAGTGACAGCTTCCATGGGTGCCTGCTGTTATTCCAGGCTTTTCAATCCAGCATGGAAAGGTCACCTCTGCATTACCCATCATGGCTGGGGCTGCTCCCATCCCACATCCAGAACTTTCTGTGCCACTTCAGCTGCTCCCAGGCCCTGTGATGGTCCTGGCAGTGCATTCCATGTCCCCCCTCCAAAATGGGATTTCAGGCAGGCTCCCAGCCCTGCCCTCACATCCCAAACCCAGGGGTAGGAACAGGGTTGCCACTTCCACTTTTATTTTTTTTTCCCATTTTGCCTGTTACAGGAATTGTTGCTGACCTTTTTATTGTATTTGTGTTACCCCCATATGAAGGAAGGAATGATGAATCTGACTCCATGTTCTCAGCAGGCTAATTTATTATTTTATGATACTATATTATATTAAAAAATACTATACTATACTATAGAGAAAGGATACTTACAGAAGGCTAAAAAGATAATGAAAACTTGTGGCTCTCTCCAGAGTCCTGACACAGCCTGGCCCTGATTGGCCAAAAAGTGAAAACAACTCCCAGCAGAATCCAATGGAACAATCACCTGTGGGTGAACAATCTCCAAACACATTCCACATGAGCACAACACAGGAGAAGCAAATGAGATAAGAATTGTTTTCATTTTTCTTTGAGGCTTCTCAGCTTCCCAGGAGAACAATCCTGGGCAAAAGGATTTTTCAGAAAATGTGAATGTGACACCTCTTCAAGCATTCCTTGAGCTTTGTCTTCTCTGGCAGGGCTGGGCTGTTGGCACAGGGCATTTCCAGGAGGATTGTTTTGCTCTGGAGGTGACAAATGGCAGCTCAGCTCCTTTGGGATGCTGTGACACTTCCCAGGGGAGCACCTGGAATGCAGAGCTCAGGCCTCTGTGCCTCTCCCTGAATAAAATCCTTATTTAAGGTCCTGCAGGCTCTGCCCTGGGGAGATTCAGAGTTCAGCCACTGGATTCATGAATTTTGGTGGGTTTTTTGGAAAATCAATCCTGTGGCAAGCCTTGGCAGGTGCTGTGGCACAAACCCACCTTTGGACTTGGGCTGCCAAGTTCCATCCCTGGGCCAGCTCTCAGGTAACTGTGGCTTTTGCCAAAGGCAGGATGGAATTCTGTGTCCTTCCTGTAGGAAGCTCTTGCAGTGACCTTTTTGGGGCTCTTCAGCCAGTTCTGAAGCATCTCTGGCTACCCCAATTTGCCTGTGGTCACTTGATGTGCAGTTCCAAATGACTCTGTGGTGTTGGATATTACATTAGAATACATTTTTCTCATTGCTGATGGATTTACTTCATATATACTTTAGAAGCTGAGCCCTGATTTTATTTGAAACTGTCAAAACATTGAATAAAACACTCCAAAGCTTTCAAAGCATTTGAACTATGTTCTCCCCTCAGACATTCTCAGTCATTTCCATCCTGGATCTGACCCCCAGGTTGCAGAGCTCCTTGGATCCACCTCCAGAGAGAAACAAGAGGCCTGAGGAACGTTGGGAATGATGGTTTGGGGGAGAGGAACTGAAAATGAGTGTGGTGGTTAAATCTCTTCTTGCTACTAAGAGCCACTTGAATTTATTTTTGGGAGCAATTTTGGTCCATCCTATTCCGGAGCTAAATTCATTATTTACTTTTTGGATTATCTATTCCTTCTCTCTCGGCCTCCAGCTGCCAAACCCTCCCTTCTCCCCCTGTGCCCTGGCACCCAGAATTGCAGCATCCTGAGCTCCAGCACTGCAGATGTGCCACATGGGGACACTGAGCTCCTGCAGGTCTCAATTTTGGAAGCAACACAAAAATGATGACTTGAGAAAAACCATCTTGTTTGTACTGAATTTTGTCAGAGCCCAGCCGTGTTGAACAGGCACCTCAAGCTTTGTGCCAGAGAGCTCCCAAGTGTTGCTGCTGTTTGTGGGATGGTTTGAGTTGGAAAGACCTTAAAGATCAACAATTCCAACCAGCAGGGACACCTTCACTAGACCAGGTTGCTCCAAGCCCCTCAAACCTGGCCTTAAAGCCACAAACATCCTCTGCTTTTGAAAACCTGCCCCCTTTTGTCCCTTTGCTGTGGACAAAATCACACACCAAACACTTGCCCACTTAATTTTCACATCTGTTGTTTTTCTTTCCTCTGTTTTTTAGCAGCTTTGAGTGCAAAGATGTCTACTTCTTGTTTCCTGGCTGCAGAGTTGAAACTTTTTAATATTCCTGTCTTCTGTGAGCTCTCTTCCATGAACCTTCCTTCACTCCCCACCCTGCTCCCATTTATCAAAGCCTGCCTTGGTCACACATTTGGTGCCTGATGAGGGACTGGGGTTGTTCCCATTGTGTCACTCCAGGCTGCCTGCTGTCCCCAGGGAAAAGGGGATGGGATGGATGTGAATGAAAGGAGGAGTTGGTGCTGTGGGACTGAGAAATGCTGGTCTTTGAAATGCCCTAAGCCTGGAGTCTCTTGTTTGGAGAGCAGGCCCAATGATGTTGGCCACTTCCCACTCCAGTCCCCATTCCTTGGTCCACAAGGGATTTATTTCCTCAGAAATGGGGCTCACTCACCCCACTTCAGGTAATGGGCAGCTGAGGAGGCAACAATTTAATTTTTTCTTAGAATAAAACATTCTGCATTGACTTCCATGTTTGATAATAAGCTGTGAAACCTTGTGGTCTTTGATTTCAAGTGCTGTGAGCTGAACTCAGTGGTTTAGGCACAGAATCTCTGAATGGTTTGGGTTGGGACCTTCAAAGACCATCCCATTCCAACCCCTGCCACAAGCAGGGTCACCTTCCATAGACCAGATTGCTCCAAGCCCCATTCAGCCTGGCCTTGGACACTTCAGGGATGGGACAACCTGTGCCAGAGCCTCACCACCCTCACAGGGAATAATTTCTGCCTAATATCCAATCCAAACTCTTTCAATCCTGTCTTCCAGCCTCTCTTTCACCTTAGTGTCAGCTCTGCCTCTTTCACCATTAACATCTGCATTTAATATTCCTATCTCCTGTTAATAACTGGGGGATCAAGCCCTGTCTTGTCCAAATTGGGAGTTCTCTGTGGCCCTGGTGAGCAGCACTGGCCCCTCCATCAATCCCTGGCTGAGCAGGGAGTGCTGCTGCCCTGGTGCCAGAAGGAAATGAAGGTGCAAAGAGCTGCTGAGTTGTTCCATGGCAGGGTGAGCTGATGTAACATGGAGCTGGTGTTGTTTTGGAGAGCTGATTTTTCTGTTCTCTCCTTCCTGCACGTGTTGGACCACGTCTGGTGGTGAGTAAGGCAGCTGAGCTTGCTTACCTTGGCATGCTCTGGCACAGCACCCTGGCCTGGCCAGCCCTGGGGCTGACACAGAGCCTGGCACAGCTGGTTCTGGGAGTGCTTGGAGGAGAAGGGAGCTCTCACCTGGTGGCAGTGGCCTCTGTG